CCGCAGCTGTCTCCACCTGAGGGAACCCCTGGACCTGTGGGAGCTGGTCTCTCGCACTTTAGGTAAGTTTGAGTAGGATTTCTATTAGTACACACAATAGGGTCCTGATGAAAATAATTGCACATTTGACTATTTACATTCTGTCCTATTTCTATAATTTTTATAGTCTTTGGTAATTTTATCTATAACAATCTTGCCTCCTGTATTTGATAATAAGCTCTTAAGAGTTAGTAGAAATTTTTAAGTTTCTAATTGTATATAATATACATATAAGAAAGTATATACGGGGGGTGCCAAAAAAATGTATACAAGCGGACACTTTGGTCAATGTTGCTCAAGCAGTAGTTTGCGGTAATCAGAAGTGTCTGGACTCTGATAGTAACCACTTTGAGCACCTCTTGTAATTGCAGAAGTCACATGTGACTTGTATTCATCTGTTGTTATTGGTATATATTGAGCATTGCAATTTTAATACAGTTTTTTCCTTTCTTAAAATGTGTATACATTTTTTGGCACCCTCTGTATATAGAGAGTGTAATATAATATATACTATGATATAAATTATATATTACATGTATGCAATATAGTGTGTGTCTTGATGAATTTTCACTGACTGACCGTGCTTGTGTAACCAGCACCCAGATCAAGGTACAGAAGACCAGCACCCAGAAGCCATCGCAAGCTCAGGCCCAGGCCCTGCCCCCCACCCATCTATCCATGACAGTAGCTGCTGTCCTGACTTCTAACAGCATGTTGTCATTTTTCTGGGTGTTGTGCTTCATATGCACTGAACCATGTACCCCTGCCTCTGGCTTCTCTCTCTCAAAGTCATATTTATGATACTCTCCATATAGTATTTGGTTGTAGTTTGTTCCTTATCATTGCTGTGGAGTTATTGTTTGTGTGACTATGCCATCAATTACCCATTCTGCTCTTGTTGGGCATTTGGATAGTTTTCAGTGTCAGGTTATTACGAATAGAATATTATGAATATTCCAGAACATGTCCTTTAGTGACTACTGGAATGCATTTCTCCTGGGTATTTTTATCTACCAGCGCCTTTGCTGGGTCACGGGGGTCACAGACGTCAGCTTTATCAGACACTCCCCGAGTTTTCCAAAGCAGCTGTGCACATTTGCCCTCCTACCAGCCGATGGAGAGATTTCCAGCGGCTCCATGTTGTTTGTCAATCCCTGGTATTTTCTGGAGAACTGCTAACGTTATTCTTATTAATTACTGTGTGTTTCCTTGCTTCGTTTTATTAGCTGATTTACAAATGGCATCCCCGAAAATAAGTTTGCTCGGTAGGACCAGTGGACCATTGATGGTCAGCAACATAAGGGCGGGAACAACTTTGTCCACCATCATGACCCCCAGGTAGGTGACCAGGCACTGGCTTCATCAGGGTCGAGCCTACTGCAGCCATTTCTTGAGCTTCAGGGAACGTCCTCCTTTTGACACTCAGATTTCTGGACAAAAATCGTCCTATGCTGCGAAGGCTTCTGAGCTCTGTTGTAATCATCTGATTGGATTCCCTGGAGTGAGTCCTTCTCTAGGACTGGCAGAGGCAGAGCCCATGTGGAAACTCTGGCCTAGGGATGTGTGCACAGTGAGGGGGTGTCTTCACGCCCCTTCCACAGGTACCTGGTAACTGTGAACCCAGAGGGTTTTCTGCTGTCCCCATTTTGAATCCCTTTGTCTGGGGGCTCCCTCCTACCCCATGCATTGACTTTCACTTTCTATACTCAAAAAGCAGTTGTCACTGTTCTCTTCATTAGCCAACTTCCAAGATACTGCTGCCATCATCTCTTCCATCACCTCCTCTTCCTTGTGCCTTTAAAGACTTTATTTTACATCCTTTTAGAAGAATTTGGGGAGGGAGTGGAAATAAATGCAAGAGCCTAGTTCTTTTTTAATAAGAATTGGAGAACTGCTTTATTAACGAACAATTAAAAACAGTATTATATATGTTTCTCTTTTTTTGACAGCCACATATCATCCCATAGTAAGACTACTTAATAAGTTATTTAACCATTTACTATTTTTGGTCACTAGGTTATTTCACAGCGTTTACCACTGTCAATATCACTGAGGAGAACCATCGGATACAGACACCTTTGGGCTCATTCAGAATTATCCCCAGACAGAGACGAGCTAAGGCAATAGAGATGCCCCTTTTAAGCGTTTGGATAGATCTTGCCAAACTGCCCCCAAGAAAGCCTGCACTAGTTTATCTCACATATCTGGAGTGAGGTTTCTGTTTTTCTATACTCTTTGCAAGTACTTGGCGTGGACACTAAAATCGTAGAGGTAAAAATCCTTGCCAATTTTCTAGGGGCAAACGGAGTATCTGGTTTTACTTTGCATGCCTTGATGTTCCTGCTTATTGGTACACTGAAATGACACCTGTCAGTGTATGTCATTTCAGTGTACCTGGGTGATGGGATGGGGGTGCCGTGGACTGACTTGTCCTCCCCCACGCACTTGTGCCCACCCCCAACACGTTCCTAACATGCTTCCATTGAAAGATAAGGAGGCACAGGACAGACCATGATTTAGGGGATCTCAGAGGGTTACAACTTCTGTGTGACTCCTGTGACCTACTAAACCCAGAATCGAGGACCAGCGTCAGTAATCCGGGATTTGCAAACCTTTGTGCAGTTCAGCAGTTTTGAGATGCTGTGTCATAATTCTTGCGGAGGCCTGTGGGAGCCCCAAAGGCCCAGCTTTTACATGCAGAGAACTGAGCCGTTTCGGAAAGGAGAGCTCACCTTCTACCCTCCCAATGAGTATGAAGGAGGCTCCTTTCCAGAAGCATCCAGTGGCTTACCTGCTTCTGCCAGATTTCTACTTTTGGAAATGCCCTTTGTATCTTGTCATTCTCAGGATTAAAGCCTTTCAGTGCTCCCCATTGTTTAGGCGAGAGAGCCGGCTTGGCATGCAAGCCCTCTGATCTCTATTTGCCCTTCCAGCCCCTGCTGACTTCCCCAAGAAGCCTCTAAACCCACCTGGCACCACTGCTAATGTCCTCTCTTCTTCTGTGTTCCTCCAAATCCTGCCCACCTCTGAATGCCCAGGATAATCAGAAGAACTCATGGACCAGTTTGGGGCACTAATAAACTCTGACAGTTCTTGGGGTAAGAAAATACACAAAATGCTTCTTTAGTCTGAGGTCAGTGTATTCACCCAGGTATCTCTGTAAACTCTATAATAATAATTTGAGTTTGCTGAGCACTTGGCGAACTAGAATTCAGTCTTAACTTTTCTGGGCCTAAATTTTTATGCGTTCTTCACTCATTTTCCTTTTTGATTCTTAAAAGTTTGAAGGGAACTTTTATAGAGCAAGCAGGGACTGGGTTTACAATCAGGATCTGGTAATTTAAATTAAAAAAATACAAAAGGTCGGTGTTTACTAATGCATAGTACACTTATTTCTGGAGTTTTGCCAGGTCATTTTAGATGGCGTGAAAAAAAACTTTAAAGCATTTATATCATGGTTATGTATTTATTTTGCTATGTATCGGGGGGAAAATCCCTAATATCCAGTCTATGATTGAATGGGTATTATTTGTGGCAGGAATCTCTAGCTGTCCGTTAAATCCATCCTATTATCTTTGGTGCACAGTCAGACCACATTTCCCAACCTTCCTTGCAATGAGATTGGCCACGTGGTTAAGTTCTTTGCAGTAAAATGTGAGCGGAAGTGAGGAGTGCCACATCCAGGCCTGGCCCAACTCCCCATCCCCCATGTTCACTCCTCCATGCTCCTAGCCACTCCAGCAAACTAGAATCAACACCCACGACAACATTAGAAACCAGGAGGTGAAGATGGCAGAGCCGCCACCATGTAGGTCAGGAAGTCTGCAAACTCTGACCCATGCACCAAATCTAGTCCAGCACTTGTTTTTAAAATAAAGTTTTACCGAAACAGCTGTGCCCATTTGCCTGGGTTTGTCTATGTGGCTTTTGCTACAACAGTGGAATTGAGGAGTTGCCTCAGAGACTCTATGACCTGAAAATCCTAAAATATTTACCAGCTGGCTCTTTATAGAAAAAGT